AGTGAGAGGGAGAGAGAGAGAGAGAGAAACATCGACGTGAAGAGCCTGAAAGATTTTTGCACATTGCATTTGAAGTCCAGAGTTATAGAGGGTTTTTTCCCACTGAAATGCATATGCACACATAAAGCTGACCCATGGCCAGGCACCAGCCCCTCCTGTGTTATTTGCCAATTCCAAAGAAGAAACAGAATGAAGACACTCATGCCCAGTCATCCATCTTTTTTTTTCTTCTTCTATGAACCTTACAGCTGGATATTGAAAAATCTGGATTTGATCTTTCTTTTCTTTTTTTTTTCATTTCAATCAGCTGAATAGCCTGTACACATGGATATAAAGAAATAGAACCAGAGCCCTGGCTGGTTTGGCTCAGCGGTAGAGCACCAGTGCGCAGACCAGTGAGTCCCAGCTTCGATTCCAGTCAAGGGCACGTACCTTGGTTGCGGTTCGTCCCTGGCCCTGGTTGGGGTTGTGCAGGAGGCAGCCAGTCGATGTGTCCCTCTCACGTGGATGTTTCTCTCTCCCTTTCTCTCCCTCTCTCTCTACCTGAAGATAAATGGAAAAATATCCTTGGGTGAGGATTGAAAAAATATATATCTATATAACCAGGAAGTGTTTGTGGTATTGAACCAGAACTTGAGATGTTTGAAGTCAGTCATTTCAGTGGTGGTACAGGCCATACAGCCTTTTCATCAGATACTGACTGCTCTTTCTGCAGGTTGTGTTCCTGGCTGGCTTTGGCTATGTGTATGTGGACATTGTCCATCAGTGTGGCACCATCTTCATCACTGTGTCCCCAGAGGGAAAGGCAGGATCCATTTTAACCAATACCAACAGGTAGGTTTAATTATTATCCAAGAACAGTATAATAAGCTTTCCTATTATGAAGTTGTAAACCTATCACTTACTATTCTTAGTCATCCCTGTATATACATTAAATCTTTTGGTTAATTATTGTGCAATCTGTCAGGATATGATTATTAGCATTAAATCATTTCTATAATAAGTAGCAATCCCTTGTCTTACTTGGATACCCCTTCCAGTTCTTCAGTGATATTAAACTGAATTACAAACTAAGGCATGCATCTTTAAATTATACATTATCATTAGCATGAAATGCAAATTAATACTTCTTTGTCCATATGACAACCTAATAATTAATAATTAATAATTAGACTTAAGTAATTAATAATTAGACTTAGCAGTTAGAGCTACATCAGAAGTAAATTTGCCTCTCAGAGCTACATTTTCCCTTCAACCTGGACGTTGCTGTCACGTTTTATAAACGTGAATCCAGAGCTGATATCCTTAATCTAAAAGAACTCATATAATTCAGTAGGAATAATAGAAAGGTAGCCTCTTCTTCCAAAAATAAAATGAAAGCCAAAGACATAGCAGAAAATTTAAGAAAGAGGAAATACAAGTAATCAAAGAAATGTATATTTAAATAAGATATTTCTTATCAAATTAACAATATGTTCCATGGTATATAGTCCTAGTGGACTGTAAATTATTGCCATTTTCTGGAAAGCACTTTAGAAATATGTATTAAGAGCTTTAAATGCCTTTGGCTTGGAAATTCCAATTTACTTTTAAGAATTAAAGCAATAATTAGAGATGTAGGCAAAGATATAGGCAATGAGATATTTATCACATTGCCAATTATAATAGCAAAATATTCAGAGTATGAATGTCATCAGTGGAGGAATGGATAATGCATAAATGTGTCATAAGTCCTAGGAGTCTGTCCACAGATAATTGGTGTAGAGGATTTTAGTGGAAAGAAAGATGCTTGTGATGAACCTAAAATAGACAAAACAATATAAAGTTGAGTCTATAAATAGGACCCTAGTTATGTGTCCTATGCACATATAAGTATACATGAATAAATGTGCACACACATTCTCTCTTTGTCTCACACACACCCACACAGAGAAACATTCCTAAAAAGGAGCCTGAAAAGAAAAGACTCGAAATTGTTAACAGATGTAGGATTATAAGTGATTATTATTGAATAAATGTCTGTATTTTCATTTTCTACAATAAAAATTTAATTGGTAATCAGAAAAATTAATTTACTGTTGATTTTATAAAATATAAAATGATATCAACTTTGATGCATTTGTGCAGGCCCTTTTTTTAAAAAAAGTTTCTTGCTTTTCATATATGATTAGGAACTCATTAATTTGGACCCTGCCAAATTATTATTAATTTGAATTTATAATATTTCAGACAAGGTTGGGTAGAATGTTTTCTTTGCCCAGAAGTATTTGTAAAAAAGTAATAATATAACAAAATTATATTATCTGCTCATTTATTTATATAATTTCTCTAACAGCAGAGTTGGGAAATTGTGACAAAATTAGAGACTAAATTTTAAATTGCATAGTAGAAGTTCAAGTCACCCCAAGACTTTCAGAGACGTCAGTAGGGATTATTAATGACAACAATCTATGTGTTCAGCAGTGGAAACAGGAAAGCCACACATATTTACTTACATGTCTTTATTCATTTATTCAACAAATATTTTTCAAGTACTTATTGGATGCCAGGTGCTATTCTAGGGATAGTGATACATCAGTGAGCAAAGAGACCAAATCCCTGCTCTTGAGGAAATCATATTCTCATAGACTTGGAAAGACAAAGAATAAACATAATAAAAAAGCAAGTTTTATGGTGATCATAAATCTAAATTTATTATAATAAAATGTAAAGAAGGTTGGCATTCTACAGATATAAAAAACAGAGCCCAGCCCTGGCCGATTTGGCTCAGAGGTTAGAGCATCAGTCTTAGACTAAAGGATTCTGGGTTTGATTCCCAGTCAAGTGCACATACCTGGTTGCAGTTTTGATTTCTGGCCCCATTCCAGGTCGTGCAGGAGGCAGTCGATGTGTCTCTCTCTTTGTCTCTCTCTCTCTCTCCCCCCTCCCTCTCCCTCTCCCTCTCTCCCTCCCCTCTCCCTCCCTCTCTCCTTTCCTCTCTCCCTCCTTTTTGCGCTCCCTCCTTCCCTCCCCTCCTCTCTATCTAAAAAATCTGTGGAAGCCCTGGCCAGTTTGCTCAATGGTTAGAGCATCGGCCTGTGGACCAGAGAGATCCGGGTTCGGTTCCCGCTAAGGGCACGTACCTTGGTTGTAGTTTTTCCCCTGCCCTGATTGGGGTCATGTGGGTGGCAACCACTCGATGTGTCTCTCTCACATCGATGTTTCTCTCTCTCTCTTCCCCCCTCTCTCCCTCCCACTCTATCTGAAGATAAATGCAAAAATGTCCTCAGGTGAGGATAAAAAATAAAAATAATTTAAAAATCTATGGAAAATTATCCTCAGGTGAGGATTAACACACACACAAAAAGCCCCGTAAGAAGAACATAGGGAGAGAGCGTCATTTTTAAATCCCTTGGTGTCAGTCTCACCAAGAAGCTGACATGTGAGCAGAGACCCGAGAGCAGTGAGAGCGTTAGTGACGTGGTGGAGGGAAGAGCTCTCCAGACAGAGGTGCGGTCAGCTCAAAGTTCTGAAGCAGTGTGCCTGGCATGTCGGAGAAGCGAGGGGGAGGCCAGTGTGGGCAGGTGGGAGGGTGACCATGACAGCATAGTACCTGTGGTCAGAGAGGTAAGGGCTAGACGGAGGGGACACATTGTGTAGGGCTTGATTTTAATTCTGAATGAAATGGGGAAGTCGTTGGAGCTTTTTGAGTAGAGAAGTTCCATAATCTGACCTAAAATTTTGGCTGCTTTGTTGAACTAGGGTGGAAGCAGGGAGACTAGTTAGGAGATGATTATAGTTATGCAACTAGAGAGAGATAAAAAATGGTCAGTTTCTGGATATCTTTTTAAGAACAAGCCAGTGGGATTTCCCTGATGCATTGGATAAGGGTGGAAAATAGAGGCACCAAGAAGGAGTCAAAAACTTTTGGTCTAAGCTATAGAATGTGGTTGCCATTAACTGAGATTAGAAAGACTGTATGTAGATTTGGGGGTAGGCTCAAGAGTTTGATTACAGCCCAGCTGGTATGGCTCAATGGATTGAGCCTCATCCTATGCACCAAGCGGTCATAGGTTTAATTCCTGGGGTGCAGGCTCCATCCCTAGAAGGGGGCGTGCAGGAAGCAGCCAACTGATGATGTTTCTATCTCTCTCTCCCTCTCCCTACCTTCCTCCCACTCTATCTGATAATAAGTGGAAAAATATCCTCAGATGAGGAATAGAAAAAAAAAAATGCTTTGGAGTTTTTTTGTAGGAGGGATCAGCATATGAGCTCATACGCTGCTCATAATGATGAAGAACGAGTGCTGACCTTGAGGCAGCGACTCCGTGCACTGGACATGTGAGCTCCAGAAGTGGAGGGAGAGCGGTGCTCAGGCTGAGACGCTGGTGGGTGGGCTGTTGGGGTGGGAGTTCATGGTCAGTTTCTTCAGCTCGCTTTACTTTTCCAAGTTAAAGAGTCTTGGTTATTTTATTATGCCTTTCTGCCTTGTGATGATCGTGACAGGGGATTAGTGCACAAAGGCTTGAGGGATTTTGAAGTAAAAATCTGGTGTTGATAAGGGAAACACTCAGAGGAACATGACAAGAGCTTGTAGTAGTCCCATTGGGAACATTTCCCAAAATTGTTGGAGTGTGACTGGCTCTGTCCAGACACGATGTACTGAAAGTTGAGTTCTTATATGTTTCTTATGAGAATCTGAGGGGATATCAGGGGGTGTTTAATAAGGCACTATCATTAAAAAAAATGAAGAAGAAGAAAGAAAAAAGCAAGGGACTCTAATGTTGTTTCTTTACTCCTCTAGAACTCTGGAGAAAATAGTGACATTTAAAATGTTCATCACTCAGTTGAGCCTGGCGGTGTTTGATGACCTCACCCACCACAAAGCATCGTCTGAACTTCTGAGACTCACGCTGGACCATGTTTTTCTCCACATGGCCCCAGGGGCTGGTCCCCTCCCCGGGGACGAGCCAAGTGCAGCACCCTTCCAGCTGTACTGTGTAGAGGTCTACTGTGGGGACCTGCAGTTGGACAACCAGCTGTACAACAAGTCCAGTTTCCACTTCGCTGTCTTAATCTGCCAGGGAGAAAAACCAGAACCTACTCAGTATTCCAGCATGCGGAGTCTCCTTGCATCCAGCAAAGATTTGGAAGAATACAAGAAAAAATGTTTTATCAAACTTTGCCTCACCTTAACTGAGGGCAAGTGCTTCTTATTTGATATCAACGAGTTCAGTTTTGAGTTGAAGCCTACCCGGTTGTACGTGGAAGATACATTTGTATACTACATCAAAACTTTGTTTGAGACCTACCTTCCGAACAGCAACCTGGGCAGTCATCCTGCGATATGCTCAGGTGGTAGACAGGCATTGCCCTTGCAGGTCACACAGCATGCCAGGGCCTTGGTGAATCCTGTGAAGTTACGGAAGCTGGTGATACTGCCAGTGAATCTCCTCGTCAGCATCCACGCTTCCCTCAAGCTGTACATCGCCTCTGACCACACTCCACTCTCCTTCTCCGTGTTTGAAAGAGGCCCCGTCTTCACCACGGCCAGGCAGCTCGTGCACGCCCTGGCGATGCACTATGCTGCTGGTGCTCTCTTCAGAGCAGGTGAGGACAGAGCCGAGGGTCTGCGATGTGCCAGAGCCCAGGAAATAAGGACATGGTTCAGGGCAATGCCTTGCGGATATCTAGACACAGGGAGGCAGATGGTGAGAGGCAGACTGTGCTTTGGGGTTGACAGCCATGGGTTTACCTCTAGACCGTGCCCCTACCAGCGGTAAGGCCTGAAGCAAATTGTTGAACGTCCCCAGGTCTCAGTTTCCTCAGCTATAAAATGGGTTGTTAAAATTTTTGAGAGGATACAATGAAAGTCTATAAAGGGCCCTGAATTTTGCTTGGCAATAGTAGCTGTTATATTTGCTGTTATGTAACTTAGAATTGTAACTCCATTTAGCAAACGGTCGTTGGGCTCCTTGCAGGCACTAGGCTCTAAATTAGCACACGAGTGCAGCCAGGAGAACAGCCCAGGCCCTCGGCCCGGGGCCTGAAAGAACTGCAGTTCAAGGTGGTTAGCTTTCTTCACTGCCATCCTTCGTGAAGAGCTGGGTGAGAGAAAGCCAGAGGCTTGGTTTGCTCATGAGATGCAGAGAGAGACCTCTGCCTCCCCAGTGTAGCCCTGCCAGTCTGGGCAGATGGCAAACGAAGGCTCTTGGTGCCTCAGCCTCCCCACAGACCTGAGCTGGGAAAGTCTGCAGGGGTGGTTTGAATATGTGTACAAACTGTGTGGGGAGGATGGGTGCTAAGAGTTGAGTGTTGGGGACCAAGTTATCTCAGTACTGTATGGTGACAGTTTTCAACCCTTTTCATCTCATGGCACACAAACTAATTCTGTAGCACAACTATATATGTATATATAGTCAATCTCACACAAAAATAATAGGTATAATTTTGATTCATTCACACCAGATAGCTGCTGTTGTGCTGACTGCAGTCATTTTTTTATTTGACAATCTAAGGGAAGAGGTCAGTGCCCTGACTGAATAGTCAGCTATTACATGCTTCGAAAATTCTTGCAGCACACCGGCTAAAAATCGCTGTTCTGTGGTAGTCGGCGTTAAAGCACACATTCCTGACCTAAATCCACTCCAAAGCAGTTTCAGTTTGACAGCCTGACTCCTCATGTTTCCATGAATTTAAGCAACAAACACCAGCCAGAGCTGATCTATGGTCCCTTTCTGGTAAAGAGCATGGATGTCTGTCTGCAAGGAGCAAAGGAGAGAGCCTTTGTGACATTGTACTTGGTGGATGCATTCCCATAGAAGGTTAACATTGTAGCAGCAAATGACCCATGTTGTTGCTGTACTGGTAAGATTACATTTCCTCCATAATGAAATTCATACAGTAAATAGGGCTACCCAGAACTCTTAACTGAAAATGACAAGACCCTGGGAGGGCCCAGCCGGAACTGTTGTTTTGATAGCTTGCACAACAATGAAGAAACATTTCCCTCTTGCTAAGACATCATTTAAAAATAAGCAGTTAACAAAACAAATTTAATAGATGGGTATATTTATAAACAATTACAGAAACTTACCCTTTCAGGCAGTTTTTGCTTTTAACATAAGAAGCGGACATGTAGGTTATGAGCTCTGATCTGGAGGAAAAGCGTCCCGTCCAGCACCACGTAATGCTGAAGTGTGGGAGCACCCGTCTGTGTAATGATCTGGCAGAGAAACTCCGGCTGTGGCACCAGGAACCACATCCCTGCAGCCTGTGTGCTAAAAATGATCTCTTTGTTTTGTTTTACATTTTTAATGAGCTTTCCCAAGAACATTCTGTTTGGATTTTTTGTAATCCACCTAAAAATCCTCTAAGCTGTGTCCCAACCTCATTATATGCTGAGACAAGAAAGTCTAATATAGAGGGCCAGGATTTGAGAGCCCATTGGGAATTCTGTCACTAAAAACCTTTCTACTATCTGAAGATGATTGAGCGAATTGGTCATGGGAAGATGGTAGGAGGTGACCAACCCCCAGGTAGAAGAGTCTTAAGCGGAATGTACTAGCATTCTTTCTGTTGTTGTTAATCCTCACCCGAGGATTTTTTTCACTGATTTTTTAGAGAGACTGGAAGGGAGGGAAGGGGAGAGAGAGAGAGAGAGAGAGAGAGAGAGAGAGAACCAATGTGAGAGAGACACATCCATTGGTTGCCTCCCAAACATGCCCCAACCAGGCCCAGGGATTGAACCTGCAACCCAGGTACATGCCCCTGACTGGGAATTGAACCCTCGACCCTTCAGTGCACAGGTCGACACTCGAGCCACTGAGCCACACCAGCCAGGGCTGTACTAGTCCGAAGGGCCAGGGCTGGCCTGGGAGTGAACAAATTGCATAACAAAACAGTAAAGTAATTAGAAATGAGTAACTAACACTATTTAAAGGAAAGAATTTGGCCTTTATAATTTCCTGGGGTCCCTCTCTACCCCCAAGTCTCAGTTTGATGGAATAGCAGACAGACATCCTTTTTCAACAAAATTCCCAAACAAGTAAGCTAAGGCTATATTTGCTATTGGAGGAAAACAGTTAAAGGAGTGTCCTGGGATATTGCTGCCCCTTTCTGGCCAGTTCAGATGCACTGAGCAGAACTTCTGGTGCACACACGGCCCTCCCATCAGGCGATGGTCCTGATCCAGGAGACCCACCCTGCCTTCGTGCGTGGAGGGTTCTTTCTGCCCATCTGTGCCCCCTGCACTGGGATCTTCGCTTGGCAGTAGCTACCTTTATTTCTATGTGGACTTTTTGGAGAGAAGGGGAATTGAAATGTTTCTAGACCACCCTTCTGCCTCCATGTGGAACCTTACAACTATTCCAGGCCAAAGGGCATCTACTGTTTCTTTACCTCCCAGAGGGCCCTCCAAAGAAGAGTATTCCACAGCCTTCCACGGGCCCCTGCCTACTTGTTGCAGAGCCTGGGCTTACCAGGGTGTGTGTGTTGGGGGTGGGGGTGGAATCAGGTAAACCTGGTTGAAAACCCAGCCCATGTGTCTAACCACGGGGGAGATTATGAGCTATTAGCCTCTGAGCCAGTTCCCCCCTTTTCCTGCCTGTTGGGAGATGGTGGAGATTAGCTAACCCGAATTTATGTGAAGGGAGGTAAGAGTACTTCTCTTGCACAGTTGCCTGTGAAAATTAAAAACGTTGAATGCCTGCCCTGGCCGAGGTGGCTCAGTGGGGCGGGGGGGGTCCATGCACCGAAAGGTTGCCGGGTTGATTCCTGGTCAGGGCATGTGCCCAGGTTACCGGTTCCATCCCCTTGTAGGGGGCATGCAGGAGGCAACTTATTGATGTCTCACTCTCACATTGATGTTTATCTCTCTCTCTCTCTAAAAAATCAATAAAAAGATTGTTTTTAAATGTTGAATGGCTGACACCTATCGGCCCTTCCATTTATAACCATCTTCTAGAAAGTATTCCCTCTTTTAACATAAACCCTAGTATTACCTTCTACTGTTCCAGAGGAGAGGTGGGCTCTGATGTTAAGAATGTGCCTCTCTACAATAGCTGGGCCTGGGTCCCATTAAGGCTCTGGCTGAGCTTTGTACCCACGTTCACCAGCCCTCTGGGATCAGTGATGTGACTGGGGCTCTCTGTCACAGGCCTGTCTTCCGAGAACCTGCTGGTGAGGCAGGCTCCCACACAGTGTTGTCCCCAGGGCCTCCCGCTAGAGCGCTGTCATCCCTGGGCTGGGAGGTCAGTGCAGAAAGTCGCCCTCTTCGAACACTCCTCTCCTTAGCCCTGGGCCCTTTCCTGCACCTCCAGTCCCCTGTGCAAGAGCCCCAAGCCCCCACCCCAGGGAGGAAGACGAAGGGAAGCCACTGCCGGAATCCACACCACAGCCACGTTCCCACGAGGCAGTGCGCACAGTAATCAGGTCACCGAGCAGGCCAGCTCCTGGCAAGCCCCGGCTCACACAGGAAACCAGATCCGAAGCTCCCCTCCTGGGACGTTTGCAGGGAACACTCCCCTCCCTAACCTAATCAGTATGTCCCTGTCACCGAAGTTTACACAACTGGAGCTGGGGTTGAAGGGGAGACATTTGTCTGGCTCCAGCTCCACTCTAAAGGGAAGCACTCAGCTTGGTAGGATTGGGAAAGATTGAAAATAACTTCTCCATCTTTGTCAGAACTTCGCATCCCCCTTGTAACACCCCATTTAGCATCTGGCCTCCTCCTCCAACCAAGCATCTTCTTATCCCAGTGCCTCTGCTGCCCCAAGGAGGGCTTAAAGATAACGTCCCAGCCTGCGAACACCTGCAGCCTGCGGGACCGCCTCTCCTCCGGGTGGGTGCTTGGGCCCCTGCACACGGGTCCCTTTTAGCAGGACTGTGGGAGGCTCCAGCAGGGAAGTCATATTAAAGCTATTTGTGAGGCTGCCAAAAGGATCACTTTGATTTATAAACTATGAAACTTTGCCACATCTGAATTCACAGTGAATGAGTTATTTCCCATATTTTACTCCAAAGGCACTTATTACATTCTCAATTCTAGTGTGAAAAATGAATTGCAGGGAAAATGTGTCATTTTTCCCAAATGTTGAAAGTGCTGTATTTAAGGTCTCAGTAACCCCTTCCTTTTGGTCCCTTCCAGGCTGGGTGGTTGGATCTCTGGAAATCCTCGGCAGCCCGGCCAGTCTGGTCCGGAGCATCGGCAATGGGATTGCCGACTTCTTTAGGCTTCCGTACGAGGGGCTGACCCGAGGCCCAGGAGCCTTTGTGAGTGGAGTTTCCAGAGGGACAACGTCCTTTGTAAAGCACATTTCCAAAGGTAGCTATTTTGGTTCCTTGTAATAATGCCTTATTTTATGCCTTCCTGTCTTTTTGTTGTTGTTGTTTTGTGTGTGTGTGTGTGTGTGTGTGTTTCAAGGAAGGTGTTAAAAGTTTTAAATGCATTAGGTTTGCCTCTAGCTTTGTTTGGCTTGTTAGCTTGCAGCGAAATGTTGGATTTGTAACAAAGCTCATATATAATGTCTTATGTTTTAAACAGATCACTGCTCGCTTGTGCAGTGTGTGAAAATGTTTCAGAAACTTCAGAATTTTAAACCTCCCATTGGGAAAACATGCACTGGCTCAACTGTTATTCCATGTGATAAATACAGAAATATTAAAGGTGTTCGGGACTTCTGCTAAGCATCAGAAATCCTACACTGTGTTGCCTCATCATATTTTTTAAAATGTAGATACAGTTGTCATAACTTTGGTGGGGATATGGATACAGTTTGACGTGGAAGCCGATTGGAGTGCAGCAGCCAACTTTTCCCTAGCATGCCACGTAAACAGTGCCATCTTGTGGCCAGTCAGGCCATCAAGCACAGAAGCCAAACTGCTGCCCTGAATGAGAAGGGGAATGTTTTCGTTTTATCCGTGTTTGCTTGACGACATTTTGGTCAGGTTGGCAGTGACTCAGGGCCTAACAAGGACCATCTGAGGCCCCTTTTCTTCTCAGCAGGAGGCAGGGAAAACAGGGCAAAGGGCTTCTCCCCCATAAGAGGCTTTTTACTGTCAACAGTGCTGCAACTCTGTTATGAACAGGCAGGTTATAGAAGTCTCTAGAAGGCCTCAAAAGAAGACTTGAGCTTGAAACATGAGAACCCTTGATCCATAGAAGGGGGCTGGCAAGAGAACAGCATGAGCAATAAACCAAGTTCCCTGGACAATGGCAGGACCACTCCCCCGGCCCAGCCGTCCAGGCCTGTGAGCCGAGCTGCGGGAGCTCACAAATGAGTCACTGGTGGATTCCTCACTCCTGACACTTAAATCTTTGTGGTTCTTTTGTTTGTATTTTAAAATAAGACAATAACACCTGCTAAATTGAAATCCATCTGTAATTTTAGCATGCTGACTCACTGCGTGTTTTTTACTCTCATTCTCTCTTTTTAGCAAAATCCTTTTGGTCTGTTGGGATCTGTGTGTGTGCATATATTTTTTCTTTTCAGATTACTGGTAAAGATGCAGCTGTGAAAACGGCATCTTGCATTTCTTCAGGAAGCTTGACATCCACAACAGATGAGCTAACTCATTAGCCTCAGAAATGTGTCCATTGATGTTTTTCAGTTTTGTTCAATGAGATCGATGCAGAATTGCTCAAGAAGAGTCTGAATATTTTGAACAAGATGCTAAAATAGCCTTTCTTAGGAAAAAAAGAGACAGAATCATGGCTCTCACATGATTCGCTCCCTTTAGTGTCTTCACATTTTTCAGTTAATGTCCCGATTATCAAAATTGCACATATTCTCAGTGGCACAATAGTCATTTCCTCAAACTGTCAAATGATAAACCTCAGTGTCTCCCTTTACTATGACTGAAATAATGAGGGAATAATTTTTAGTCCTAAAGTAGACACATTTATTTGCAGTTTGTCTAAAATTCAGTAACTCACCTTAACCTTTAAAATCAGAGCAGGCAAATTTTAACCTTTAAAACTGGGCCTCAATAAGAACTTCAAAACCCACTGTTCTAGCCAAGCCTTGACAGTCAGATGGCAGTGAGTGACAGCTCCACATGAACTCGAGGTGTTTCCGGGCACAGGATTCCACCCTGTCCTGTTCGAGGACTGCCATCCCTGGCACAAGCAAGTGTTCATTTTTGCCTCATTTTCTTAAGGCTGTTGCTTCCAGCTGCCCAAGAGGAAGCTGCCATCAC